CCTTCCTGAGGTGGATAGGATGCGGGCAAAGGACGAGGTGGTTAGCCATGCAGGGTATACCATTGTGAGGCATGCCTTGGAGGTATGTGAAATAATTAGATTTTACTCCGGTTGTAAGTTTTAAGCTGTGCCTGGTGTCTGACTTCTGATTGCATTGTAGAGTGCAAGCTGGACGAACGCTCTAGCGCAGGAGTATGCAGAGAGCGTTAAAGATCGTGCCAGCTTGCAAAGGCAGTGCGACCAGCTTCAGAGGGAGAAAGATGAGCTGCAGAAGGAGAAGGCGGAGTGGGAGAAGCAGAAGAGGGAGATGCAGAGGAGGCTGGATGAAGTTCTCCCTTCAGTGACCGAGCTGCAGAACGAGAATGACGTCCTGAGCACGAAGCTCGGCCTCGAAGAGCGTAAAAGGAAGATATGCGAGGAGAAGCTCGAGGCGCAGGACAAATATATGGACAAAATGAGGAAAGCAGCTGCGGAACTGAAGAAGAACGTGGACAAACTGGTTCACAATGGGATGGAGGAGCATATTGGCAACTTCCTCAACTCCACCATCTTCAAGGACATCCTCAAGCTCTACCGGCTGCCAACCGCAATCGTGGCCTTCACCGACTGTAGAAAGAAAGTGAAGGCCCAGTACCCAGAGGTGGACGTGACAACAGTCACCTTTGGGGAACAAGAAGAAGGGGTGGAGGAAGATGGGGAGAGCCTTTGTGCTGACTTCCTACCTCAGATCACGCTGAGGTGGGAGCATGATGCAGAGGGGCGCTATATTTTCCCTCCAACCTTTGAGGCCGAGTTGGTGGCAGTGGGGGGAGAAGAAGAGGAAGAAGAAGAAGAACAAGGCACTGGAGTTGGGGAACAGGCAGCCTTGGCCGAAGTGCGGCCTCCTGAGGTTCATCCCGTCTCTTCTGACGAAGTGCAGCAGCTGGCTCCTCCTGAAGCAGAAGTGCCACCCCTCCCTGCTGGAGATGAGCCTATATCACCACCTCTTCCCGCTGAGGAGCAGCCTCCTCCAACAGTAGAGTAATTTAGGTTTTTAAAATTTTTTAGTCATTTTTGTAAATAACATTGTTGAGTTTTTATATAATTTTTGAAGTTTATTCTTGGTCTTCAGTGTTGATTTTGAATTGCTGGTGTAGTTTAAGTGAATGACTTCGGATAAAAAAGAGTAACTTTATTTAACACAAGGTTTTGACCTCGGGCAAGGGAACTGACCTTGCATTTAGAAGAGGCGGACTTCGAGTATATAGATGAGAAAAAATCACTTCACAAGTAAAAGTAATAAAATCACAACCCAATCAAATGAGGTGACTGAATAA